GTAGGCACTTATTTCCATGCATGGTGGAGGTGCGCTGTTGTACGAGGATTTTGGCAAAAAGTCCACACGGTCGTTAAAGCATTAATGAAAAGGGACATACCATTATCCCCGGAATTCCGGTGACGGAGGCTCCAGGCGCCGGCCTGGACTGGGGGCGGGGGGTGGGGGGAACCGGCGACGGAGGCTCCCCTCCAGGAGGGGAGGGAGGCGGCGGACGGGCCGTGCAGGGCCCGTTCGCCAGGCAGGATGGGTGCTGGAGGTAGGGAAGCCGGCGGACGGAGCCTATCGGCTCCGTTCGCCGCTGGGCTGAAAGCGTCCCTTACCGTATGTGGGGAAGATGGCCGCTCAGATGAGCTGGCTCCGATGACTGGCTCCCTCCCCTCCCAGCCACCCAGCCAATGGCAGGGCAGGTTGGCTGAGGGAGCCAGTCATTGGAGGCAGCTCTCCTGAGTGGCATATTTTCCACCCATACACTAACGGGGCGCGTTTTAGAATTTTGGCAGCGACTACTCTTTTATATAAGGGAGAGATAATACTTGTGTTCGACTCCAAAAATGCTGTATGTGATCAAATTACGATTTGTTCTGTATATACTCTCGTGGAGAGTCAGTTGTAAATACTAAATAAACCGTTTTTTTAAAAAAAGTCATGGTGGAGGTGGGGCTGCACCTGACAGACAACCAACCGCCTGTTAGGTGTAGGGGGGGAGTGTGTTGGAAGCCATCCCACTTCCTCTCCTACACCTGACAGGCAGATGCCTGTCCAATGTAGGAGGGGGGAGGAGTATTAGAAGCCACTGTGGAGGTGCGGCTGCACCTGACCGACAACCACCTGTTAGGTGTAGAAGGTGGAGGGAGTGTGTTGGAAGCCATCAGAGAGGCTGGGCCAGCAGCTTTGCTTTACCTCACAGGTGGTTGTTGGCCACTTCTGATTTTCTCAACTGTCATTAACTGTCTGCAGTCCCCTGTAACTGTTGGGGTTTTTTTTACCTCAGAACACTGAGCTCTGCAGCTGACCAATCAGAGAGTGGGGGGTGCAGGCCTGGAAGCCGCATGGGAATCAATGGGGGGAGCACATTTTACCCCCTTTGACACACTTAGGGGTCGAAGTTCTAAAAATCCCTTCTTAGTGAGTACCTACGCCATGGTAGGAGTGCTCTCCCTGAATTTGGTGTTTCTAGGTCCAGCGGTTTGGCCTGGGCGTTGATTTTACGGTGAGGGAACTTTCTTTTATATATATAGATTTTACTTATACCTCGCCTTTCTCCCCAATGGGGACTTAAAGCGGCTTACATCATTCGCCTCCATTTTGTCCTCACAACAACCCTGTGAGGTAAGTTAGGCTGAGAATGTGCGGCTGGCCCAAGATCACCATCCAAGCTTGCACTGCAGAGTGGGAGTTTGAACTTGGGTTTCCCAGGTCCTAGTCCTACACTTTAACCACTACACCACACTGGCAGGGATAACTCACCAGAGAATAAATCTAGAAAACTCAAAATTGGCCACCAGCTTTAGGATGACTGTGGGAGTTCCAGGGCCAAAATGGAAAGATACAGGAAAATCCTGGCCCAGGTGAGGCAAACCACCACCACCCCATACTATTTGTAATAGAAGCTAAGGGACATAACTCAAAAGGTAATGCTACAACTGGCCACTAACACCAGAATGATGATGGAAGCTGCAGTGCCAAAAATGAAGGAAACTGGAACACCCTGAACCTTAACTCAAAAGGTAACGCTACAACTGGCCACTGACACTAGAATGATGATGGAAGCTGCAGTGAAGGGAATTGGAACACCCTGAACCAGGTTATCTTCACAAAAGGCAACATGTAATAAGAGAGCTTTTAAGCAACCTGTCACGTGTCTCTAATACTCAGATCCCCACCCGCCATGAAAGGTTGCTGGGTGACATACTCTCAGTCAGACCTACTTCACAGAGTTGTTGTGAGGATAAAATGGAGGACAGGAGAACAATGCAGCTCTGAGTCTCCACTGGGGAGAAAGACTGGGTATGGTATTTGTTATAAATCTAATTTTTAAATGATATTTTAAAAATTACATAATTTGTCATATAGCAAAGTAGCCTTTATAAAGGGCTATTTGATCTTCCACCAACAGTATAATATTAATAACGACCCAGTGCCTGAACTGGGAGTTCTACATTCTATTCCACATAACCACTAAAACAGATTAATGTTCCATTACCATGCATGTAAAGGGTGGAAGAGGGAGGAAGCATCCTTTATTACTTGGTTAGATCATGGGGACTGGAGAAGTATAAACTCCTTTGTCTCTTCTGTTCATAACATTAACAAAGGTTAATGATACTGTACTACTGTACTACTCCAAGCAGGATAGGAATGAGGACTTGAGACCAAGAATTAAAAATAAAGGGGGAGGGGCATTAAAAATTAGGTGGAGGGAGAGAGAAACTGAATGAGAAAAGTGTGGAAAACAGGGAGAGAAATTAAGGAAAAAAGAGGGAAAGGTTGTTTTATCTTGCTTCCACATGCTAACTACTGCTTTGCAAGATCTGGCTGAGCTGGATGGAAGGAAAGGAAGACAGAAAGGCTAGGCTGTTATTAGGCTCCAGTATGCCAATTCTTGTAGCAGCCATCAGTGTGCTGTTTTATCTTGCACCAGTACTGGCTTGATAGATGATCCTGTTAGCCTGATCTGTTTGGTAAATTGTTTCAGTCTTGGAGAAGAGCAATAATAGCTGATAATAGAGTTCCTTTTACTATACCCAGGCTCCCCTGCTCTCCCAGTGGCTGCAGCCAGAACTGCATATTAAAAATAAACAGGAAAGATGTTCAGCTGGATGCAGCATGATGGTAGCTTCAAGGGCCCTCCAGCTGACTTGCCCCCCCACCCCGAATTTTGTCCCCCCAGTCCCTCTCTGACGGCGTCAGTAAATTTATGTAAGTAAGGTTCTTGAATATCTCTGTTCATGTTGGAGTTCCAAAAAGTTGGGAAAATGAAGAGAAAATACACATGAGTAGTAAAAAAACAACTGACTTTACAAGAGCTTAACTCTAAAGTCCCAGTGTATTGATATGGCATGAGCAAAATCCATCCTAGAGGAGCAGATAACACTTTAGGGCACAATCAGGGATTGGATTCTTTTCATTTAGTTTGACTGCAGAAGATAAGACTTTCAACAATCTTCTCACTAAGGTAACATTTTGCTTATCAGCTGAGCAAACCAAACCACATATCAAGAGGCTACAGCAGCTGGTGATATCGACCAGACAGATGGCTCTGACTTATTCTTTCTACCTTCTTTTTTCTGCTTCACTTTACCCCCAACTCCTTTCCTTTCTTTCACCACTAAGCTGAAGCTTCAATATTCCTGAAGTTTAGATACCAAAGGGGAGGAGGGAGGGAGGAACAAACTCATGAAAAAGTTTCATTATATTGATTTTTAGTTAAGTAGTAATATTTGTGACCCAGATGAGAATAATTCCTAAGAACACCAATCCGGCAGAAATCATATCAAACAATTCATGTGTGTTCTTTTTAATCTTCAGTTTTTTATTCAAGTTTAAATGAATACTATAAACATCACCTTGAACACTCTTGGAAAATGTGTTTAGAAAGTTTTAATAAGAAAATCAGTAGGAGAAAATAAGAAAGGTGGAATCAGCTGGCTAGGGAAGTGGTAAGCTCCCCTTCACTGGCAGCTTTCAAGCAGAGGCTGGACAAATATTTGCCAGAGATGCTTTAGGCTGGTCCTTCACTGGGCAGGGGGTTGGACTAGATGGTCTGGATGGACCCTTCCAACTCTATGATTCTAAGCCTTCAGCAGAGGTTTCTTCCTCACTCCTCTCACATTACATTTGCAGTGATGTTTACTACAGTAGCGGATCTTTATTACATGGCTATAGGCCGCCTGGCACAGTTTGCCAGCTGCAGAGTGAATACAGCTGTACCGGACTACAGTCATTTTGCAAACAGCAGAGCTTTGTTAATAAGCTCCAGGAACAGCCAAATCCAATCTACTGATTGAGAGAGATGGAAGATCAGCTGTAAAAATTTCCCAACCTTTCCACATGCTCTACAGTGGTGCCTTCTCCATGTCAGTGTGAACTCACTAGTACAGATCATACACATGGTAGCTCTCGTATCAGGAATCCAGATGGGAGCCTTTGACCCCAAAGGACTGTCTTCCTCATCTTTCTCTGGGTCTGCCTAAGGAAGAAAGGAAGAGATACAAAAAGCATGACAATACCTTCAGCATTCCACAGTTAAAGATACATCTCATCAATCTCCAATTTTGACATATTTATTTCCTTCACTATGTTTCCCCCCAGAATTAAACCCAAACAAATGGTAATCTAAGCTTATTCCTGTTCGATCCTTGCATCTCTTAAATATCTTCATTATGCTGTATGCTAATCTGCTGTCCACCTATACGTATGGACTGGTAACTTCCTCGCCTGCGGGGAGGGCAAGATTTAAATCTAAATAAATAAATAAATTACTTTGTACCTGAAGAAGTGTGCATGCACACAAAAGCTTATACCTTAAATAAAACTCTGTTGGTCTTAAAGGTGCCACTGCACTCAAATTTTGTTCTAATACCATCACTATTTACATTGACTAGATTTATTTTTAAAAGCCAGAATCCATGATTTTCTATTTTGCTAATTAGGGCTGTATGGTGTAGACTTTCCAATTTCCGGGGGGGGGGGCTGGGGCTGGGGCTGGGCCAGAGGCATTGCTTTGCTAGGAGCAAGGGTGGCTCCCGGGGGAGGCTGAATACCTTCCTGAAAATTTCGGCGGGGGCTGAAGCCCCGCCGCCCCCACGAAGATTACGCCTAGCTATGGTCCCTGAGACACCATTTCAGGTTTTGGGATAGAATTTTGATTCTATTCTCTCTAGATATTCTAGCTCTGCTACTACTTCTGCTTTATTGGCTGCATTCAGAAGTCATGACAAACCTCTGTAATGGGCATGAACACACCTTGTGGCCATGCTTGCACATTCCCACCGTCCTCCTTTCTGCATGGAGCCAACTGCTGCAATGTCCAAATGCAGACATCTGGGCAGAATGGAGTTTCCACCCCACAAACCGTAATTCTAAACCATGGTTTAATCCCAGGTGCCAGGGAGGAAACAAACTCCAAGGTGCATAGATGTTTACATCATGGTAAACTGGAGCTTGAATGACGTCTTCCAAAACCCGGAAGACTTTTGATCTATATGGGCTGGGGGGGAGAGACAAAGAAGGCAGGAGCACATACAAACAGAGGTTCATCATAATATGTGAATGTAGCCTTAATTACTCAGTCCTTATGTTGAATTTGTGGATTTAGTCTGTGTTTTAAAGATATTTTATAGTATCTGATGGCTTAGCTGTTTTTTTAAAAAATTAGAACTGTATTGATTCTGTCGATTTAATATTATCTTAATTGCTCACTTTGGAAACCACCAGAGGCAAAAAAAACCACCTTTTTTTTACAGACCAGTATAAAAGTATTTAAACAGGCTAGCCAGCTACAGACCTATTATCTAGATACGCAGAACAAACATGCAACCATTTTTGAAGCAAAGGGAATAACTGATAAATGGCATCATTTAATTATTTATAAACAAAAGTCACTCACTGTATAGGTCAGGAAAAATAAATGCTCTAAAGAAATAAATCATATGAGGTCTGAAGTCAGGTGGGATGGGGTAGGGATCCATGTCAAGCTATACTGGTGCAATAAATTTTGTATTTATTTTTACTTAACGTTATTTATAGTCTGCCTTTCTGACATGGACTGAAGGTAGATTACACACAGCAAGTCAGTACAATCAACAAAATGGGATATTCAGTAATTAATGCATTAGGATAATAGACAACTGGACCCACCAGAAAGAACAGGAGCATAGTATAAGTATCAACATGATACATTAAGCAGTATAGAAATTACATAAGAGGTTCCTACTTACAATATGCTACATACAGCAGTCAAGACCACAAGTCCCAATCATTTATCCAAGTAAGTTTGTGAAACCATTTTGTACTGTGCAGCAGCCTTATTACCAGCCTTCTTGAATAGTTCAGTTTTGCATAGTTTGTGTAAGGCCAGGAGAATAGGCAGGCCATTCCACAAGATGAGAGACACCACGGAGAAAGCACATGTACAGGCAGTTGTTGATTTTGCCCATTTGCAGGTTGGCACCTGCAGTAACCCCTGCTTACATGAGCAGAATTGTTGTGGTGGAACATAAAGAGATAGGTGGTCCTGTAAATAAGAGGGACTGAGACCATGAAAGGCTTTATATGTGATAGCTAATACCTTAAACTGAGCTTGGTAACAAATGGTCAACCAATGAGGGGTTTGCAGAATGGAAATAATATGCGCACTCCGTCTAGGTCCCCGTTAATAGTCGAGCTGTGGCGTTCCGGACTAGTTTAGAGTTCCCAAATTGATTTTGAGGTGAGACCAATGTACAGTGCATTACAGAAGTCTAGTCTCAAAGTTACTATGGTATGGTCATCGTGACAGGTGCCATTTTATGATATGGGGCCATTTTTCGATATGGGGCTATTTTACTGGCTAGGCTGAGTTGGAATAAAGCCTTTTTTTGCAGCTGCATTAACTTGCTTCTCCACTAGTAAAGCGGATCCAGAATGACCCCAAGCCTTTTAACTGAGTCAGCAAAAGTCTGAACTCCATTGAAAGTGGGGAGAAAAATGTCCTTCAAGGCCTCTACCTTCCCCATCAGCATTATTTCTTTCTTTTCAGGGTTTAGTTTAAATTTGTTGACTTTTAGCCAGTTAACCACTGCAGCCAGGCAGCGATTCAGGACCTCTACCACATCACCAGATTGGGATAAGGATATACAGAGCTAAATATCATCAGCATATTGATGACAAACAACCCCAAACCTCAAATGGTTTGTCCTAAGGGCTTTACATAGAGATTAAAAAGCATGGGGGATAGAATGTGCCCTGTGGAAACCCACAAGGTAAGTCCCACACTGATGACAACTGATTTCCAATAGCAACCCTTAGCGTCTGATCCAACCTACCTCTTCCAGACTTCTGCTAGGGTTAAAGGTGATTCTTTTCTTCATATATTCTTCAATTGACCTTGAGATGGCATCTAACCATTCATCTCTTTCTGTTGCAGAACTGTTGGGTCAAACAAATACCAGGGTTAAACTCCTAAACAGCACTTTTGCTCACAAACACAACTCAAAAAGCTTTCCCCCCACTGCTTTTGTCTCAACATTTTACTATGTAATAACTCAAGTTTTCTCAGCTATGCAGGGGTCATTTCGTAGAAAAAGAGCTAGGGGAACTCATTAGCATACCTCATTAGCATATGCCACACCCCCTGACATCAGGGGCCCGGCGGTGGACCTGCAAGGCCAGCGGGAGTGCGAGGAAGCCCCGCCAAGGCCCTCCCTGGCCCCAGGCAGGCAGGAGTGGGGAGAGGCAGGGAGGAAGCAACTTACCCTCCCTCTTCTCCTGCCTCCTCCTGGCTGAATGAGGGCTGGAAGCGGGGCGGCCGGAAGCAGGGGGCGGGTCTTTGTCATGTGCCCCGCCCCCTGCACCTCACCCCCCCCCGAAATGACCTCTGCAGCTATGCAATAACTCAACAGTACTTTTTGTGCTTAAGGAAACAGATGTGTGCCTGAGCCTTACCTGGCTGAAAGAATGAAAGATCGCTGCACACTTTCTATGTTCAGTTCATTCTGGTAAGCTTCATGTGTGGGCTTTCTAACCTGACAAAGCATCAGAACAATTCAATTGAATTTAGCTTGGGCAAAAAAAAAAGTGTTGTGTCAACTTGTCATCTCACAAGGAGCAGCAAATGTAAAGCACACTAACACCACACCTTCAGAAGTTAGAAACGACAAAAGAGAACGAACGGGCAACCAAGAGCAAAAAGTGGCTTGTAATCCAGCAGAGGGCAGATATGACAAAGTACCATACTCTAACAGAACATGCAGATGCTCATATCATACAATCGAAACCATTGAACATATGATTATGGAGTGCCCTATATTCGATGAGTTGAGGGTTAATTTAGTCACTCCTTTACTTAAAGATATGGAACTGCTAAATGTGCGAGCCCAGGTGTCATGGCTACTATCGGGTACCAATGATCGTGTCACCCTCTCAGTCGCAAAATTCATAGGCGCAATAATCAAATATAAGAGAAATAATACTAAGGTCTTTTAAAATATTTTCTTTGGTTCTAATTTCTGCTTAAGGTGATAGCCATATGAGTAGTACTAGATAGATAGCATGTTTCAGTAATGAAACAATGCAAACAGCAAGCCTGTTTAACATTACTTGTCCTTCAAATACCTATACAGTGCCTCATGACTCTCTTTCTTTCTCAAGTATCATGTCTCCTAAAAGGCTTAGGCCTGATGTAAACAAATGGTGGAAAAGGAACTCACTTGGGGGACTTTGTACCCAGGCTGCAAACCTGTGAAAAGCAGCTGCATACGACTGATTAGCACACCAGCACAACAACCCTCTGGACTACAGACCTCTAGCTTGCCAGCTAAACAGGCACAGCAGCTTTACACATGTTGCAGCCCCGGTTACATGAGACACTGGCCAAATGCAAAAATCCACAGGTCCTTCTCCAGCATTATGTTTAAGTCAGGCCCTAAACTAAAAAAAAAGCTTCAGTATGTATATGATCCTCAGGGCAGGGGACTTGTTTATTTTGCTTATATTACTCTATAAAGGACTGACTGCAGTATCCATATATTTGAAAAGGCATTTCCTGTCTTATGAGCATTAAGTATTCCATTAACATGGGCAAATTTATTAGTGGCACTGACTATAATAAGGCCATGGTAGAATTAAAGGTAAAGGTTAAGGTTCCCTTGCTCAAAAGTCAGTCGAATCCTAGGGTTGTGGTGCTCATCTCAGTTTCAAAGCCGAAGAGCCAGCGCTGTCCGAAGACGTTTCCGTGGTCATGTGGCCAGCATGACTAAACACCAAGGGGAACGGAACGCTGTTACCTTCCCACCAAAGTGGTACCTATTTATCTACTTGCAATTTCTTGCTTTCGAACTGCTAGGTTGGCAGGAATGGTAGAATTACTTATATGTATATTAGCACACTTTAATATTGTTACAGTTGTGTTTGGTGCAGGAGGCCATGATATGAGTTACAAAACATGATAGAGCAAAAATGTCATTAACTCACTTTCATTCCAGCCAGCGACAGCATGTTGTTGAGTTTGTACATTCCAGACTGAACAGGAGTAGTGTACAGCAGAGCATCATTAAACTACAATATGAATTTTTTTAAAATGTAGTTGAAATTAGATTGCTTTCATCATATAGAAAAGGTGTACGTATCACATACCAATTAGAAAAGCCATCTTCTACCTACACTGGGATGAGTACAGAGGGACACTTTGCCTCCCACCATGCAGTGGAAGTGCTGGGCACACAAAAATGCATGGAGACAGACAAGACCACTCAAAGTTCTCTATCCCTGTCTTGGGGGCAACGTGGAGCCTATTCATCCTCCAGCCTCTACATGCAGACTGTTTACCATACAAATTTCACTAAACTCCACGCATGCAGTGAAGCAAGAAACATGGGCCAACATCCATTGCAATTTAACTGTTTCTCCAACTCCTGAAACTTCCAATCACCTATAACCATTTCACAAGTAGAACTTAAAATACAGGCAGGGCTTGATTCAACAAGGAGGGATGGAAAAACCAAAGCAGGACATATGTATGATAAACTGAAGCTGAGGCATCTCAACTTGAAGTGGGAATGAAAGAGGTGATTAGAGTATTTTACTGTCTCTCTGAGGCCTTCTGCAAGTCTCTCATACTCTGTCTGCTGCAGATTGGATGACTCTCAGTGGTGGTGGTGATGCTATTGCTTAGGGTTTTTTGGTGTTGCTCTAGATCTCTGAAAACTGCAGCTTTCTCCGAGCTCCTTCTCAGACTTCAGTGTTCTCTGTATTGGTACTGAGATGGCTTCTCTCTCCCTTTCCTCCTCAGAACCACCTATTTTTTTCCTCAAAACCCTCCTGTTAGCAAAAGTAATCTCCTTTATGCTGGCTGTGTGAACCTTAATCAATAACTTAATTAACTTGCCAATTTGATTTTAGAAGCCATGAGCTTTTGTAGTATATTCCCAATTTCTTGGCAATGAGCAAAGATTTCATATATATTTACTTTATTTGCTATAAAACCTAAATACATAATATATGTCTAGTCAAAATTTCAACATATCTGAAAAAACCAGTCTATCTGAACTCATACCTTGAATTCTGAGCATAACTACCTTTAAAAAAAATTACACGAGGGCTCCAGCTGGCTGGGAAAGGATACTCTAAATCCTCAGATGGAAGATGAATTCATGAAGTCAAAGTTAAATTAAAAATAGTAGCATGAAATAGCTGCCAAGTAAATTAACCAAAATAAGTTCCTAGTTGTCAATATTTGTAGTACACAACTATGTCGTTAGCCTAGTGTGTGAAAAACATTTGTGGCATCTTACCAAAAAAAACATTCGTGGCTGCATGATCTTCCTTGACAGCTTCATCAATGTTCCTTCTTTCAAAAAGATCTGGATATGCAAGAAAATAAATAAAGTCAGCTGTTGAGTGCACAAACTCTCTCAAAAAGAGGAGAGGGAGTTGAAATGCTAGCCAAAAGCAAAATAAAAACAACAGGACAGCAAAGGGCAAGAGAGAGAGCTGAAAGGGAGGTGAAACTGCCACTATAACTGCAAAGTCTGTGTGGCCAGGGGACTGGTGCTGCAGGCCAGAAAAGGAAGCTACACATTTTGTGGTTATCACACAGCCAGCCAGTGTGATATGGGGTGGGAAGGAGGTTAAACTGAACTGTCACAAATTGGGACACCTCATCCAGCTACTGGGGGGTGGCCCATGGACCAATTCAGGGGGGACTGTTGTAGTGACACAGGGCTCCACTTTCCCCCCTCCTACCATTTCCCTTTGAAGAGCTCAGATACTTTCACAACTGAAGAGGGTTTGTGATGTGAAGCCAAGAAAAACTGAAGTGTTGTCCCTCTCTTGCACGGCTACAGCCCACAGAGGGACCTAAATGATGACATGCAGTTTTCTGATTTTTTTGTAGTTTCCTTTCATAACTTACCCTTCCTGGCTGTACAATCTCATGGTGACCATTTAAACTGTACTGTATTTGCATAAGCTTCTGAAAGTTATCCTAGAGGGAGGAAGCATGAATAAAATTACTGTAAACAAATGCCCATCTGAGAGTTTTCACAGATATATGGGGGTGGAGGAGAGAAAGACATGCAATTCTTTCCAAGCACTGGAAAGCCACAATTATTGCTCAAACTGGCTTCACGGCTGTGCCAAATAGTTGATTATCCTTCACATTCTACAGAACGAATCACTAGAAGCTAATTTCCTGAAGTGCAGATGGCAAGAGAATACAGGTCTTTAGCCTGAGAATGATAGGCATGGTTCCAAATACAGAAAACTTGTAATTTCACTTTCACTCTGAATTAAACTAGCTACATATCTCCCTCATTCCCTCCTTAGCACTCATGGGATTCCACACTCTGGAAACTCAGCAGCTGGAAAGGAGGGTGGGGGTGTGTTGCGAAAGGCTATTGATTGAATGCTGGGGACAGTTTTCATCCAGATGCTGTATTTCTGCAAATCTGTGAATGCTCAGCTTTCAGATAAAACAGGAACCAAACATTTTGTGCTCAAAATGTCTGCATAACAGGGACAGATTGAAATGGAATATATAGAAGAAGAGGAGAATGGATTTATACCCCGCCCTACACTCAGAGTCTCAGAGCAGCCTACAAACTCCTTTCCCTTCCCCTCCCCACAGCAGACACCCTGTGAGGTAGGTGGGGCTAAGAGAGCTCTTTCAAAAACTGCTCTTTCAAGAACAGCTCTGGCAGAACTATGGCTTGCCCAACGTCATCCATCAGCTGCAAGTGGAGGAGTGGGGAATCAAACCCGGTTCTCCCAGGTTAGAGTCCACGCACTTAACCACTACACCGAACACCCACTACTACTATTATTTTAACATATTTTGTCTTTATATTACAGTTTTAAATTTGTATGCGCTTCCACAGTTGATATACTTACTCCCTGTTTCATAATGTCATTTGCATGGTTGGCCACTTCTATGACAACAGCGAGAGCATCTTAAAAGAAAGGAAAAATGGTTGTATAGGCTAGATAATCAGTATTGAAACACAAGCTGATTACATTAAAAAGCACATTATGGAATAACACTTAAGCGAAGTGAGGGTTTATCATCATCATCATCAATGTGGCACTTTACAGAGCAACATAAGCATAAGTTATGAGGTTTCAACTGTTCAACTCTTCCAACGTTGGGGTAAAAAATTAAGCCTACCTTATCTACTCATGGCAACTGGCTGCCCTCAGGCCTCATTGGGTCCAATGAAGGCTTCCCACTTGGCCAAACTCAATATACTCTTCCAGTCTGCTCCACATTTTCTGAGAACTTACCTGTACAGCTACTGTCAAGTTTCAAAGCCCACTTCATGCACCAGTTGTGAATCCTTTCTGCTTTCCAACACAGACTAGAAACACTACTTAATGCTCAACCAGCTCATTCCTGAAGTGTCTTCCTTCTTCCACCCAAATGCAGCACCGCAGTATAGTAGCACCAAGAATTTAATTTATTGTTATCACACTCTTCTGCCATGAAGATCAGAGTTTAATATGTGGTTACCGATTTTATCCTAACAACAACCGTGTGAGTTAAGACTAGTCTGAAAGACAGTGAGTGGCCCAAAGTCATCACATTATCTTCATGGAAGAGGGGAGATTTGAACCAACTGGATGCAGACAGGGCTCTACCAGGTCACGATCAAACCTTCTCAGTTATTTAAACACAAATCTTGAATTACGGAATGTTTGAAGTATTGGAGCTGCTTTCTGATGGAATAAAGATTTACTTAAACTGGAACCTCTAAACTGTTAAGAACCACTTGTCTACCTTGTGGTTGTTCCTTTTAGGGTTGTCAACCCCCCCAGTTTGCCAGGGGTCCCCCGTTTTGGGAAGCCCCACCCCCAACACCCACAGCCACCCATCTCTATCCCTTTAAGTGTGTGGAACCTGTGTTTCCTCCCAAGCCTGATCTCCACAAGCTTGCAAGGAAATGCCAGCTTCGTGCTCTTAAAAGGGAAACGCAGCTGCTCTTAAAGGGGAGACGCCAGCTCCTGCATTTAAAGGGGAAACGCCGGCTCCTTTAAGTGCAGGGAACTGGTGTTTCTGGAGATCTGGTGCACGGGGGCGGGGGGGCGGACGTCCCCAACATGATGTCATCACATTGGGGATGCCCCGCCCCCTCCAGGAACGCCCCCAAAGTCCCTCGCTGGGGGTGGAAGATGGACTTGGCAACCTATGCCAATGCCAGGACAGGCTGATGATTGTCACCAGCTGAGATGGTTTCAGAAAGACTCTCTAGATAGCTCTGGTTCTGTGTCACATCATTTCACCAAGCTGGAGGTCTCCCACTATCACAATTGGTCTCCAGACGACAGATGCCAGTTCCCCTGCAGAACATAGTTGCTTTGGGGGGGTGGACTCTGTGACAGTGTACCCTGCTGAGGTCCCGTAGGGAAAAATATAATTAATGGGCTCTTTATCTAGAGGTTCTGTAACGATTTAATTTTTTTAATTTGCTTTTCTTGGCAGTGTTAGGGAGGGAGATGAGATTGTGGGGAAAATATAAACTACTATGTTTAGGCTTGAAAGCTAACTGTGTCAAAATATGAAAGAAAATTCAAAGGGACTAGAATGCTAACATGGAAGAAATATATACTTCAACTAGAAATGTCAATTACTCAGATATATCTGTTCCTTTCCATCAAAAAATAACTTTTTCATTGGGCTCTGCCCAATGACCTACCCACACTGGCCAGGCTCTGGACCGCTAGTTCCACTTCAAAGGCCTCTCTGCACCCACCAGGCCAAAAATGTTTGTTTCAAGAGTTTTCAGCACTACATAATATTGCTACAACCAGAAAGGCTGTTGTGGGGCACAAGCAGATGTTTTCTTGACAAAAGTCTGTATACCTATTTATATAAATCCATAACTGGGCCAATAATATTAACTGAATCATTACTAATCAATACCAATTGAACTTATACATTTCTGAATTGATGATGTTTCACTAGAAAATAACTAGAAAATGCAATTACCCTGAGTATCTTTGAAGTCAGCTGAATCTTCCAAAAGGTTCTTTAAGTAATCTGGGGAAAGAAAAATATTGAAGAGGAAAATGAGGATGAGATAAACACAATATATTGTCATGAATACCCATAGTACGCTACCAGAAACATTTGGCTGCATGCTTAATTTTCAAATCATGAAGAAAAAGTCAGTAGCAATCTGAATACATGTGAAGTTGTCTTGTGTACCAAGGTCAGTACTTTTTATTTTGACTGTTAGCAGCTCCCCAGGGTTAAAGGTGGAGGTCTTGTCACATCACCTACTACCTGATCCTTTCATCTGAAGATGCTGAGAACTAAACCTAGGACCTTTTGCATACAAAGCAGATATTCCACCACTAAACCTCTTCCCTAATCTAAACAGAACAAAGCATATATTACACTAAATTTTCCATTTCTCACAACAAATATTCAGGGGAAAAACCAAAACATGAAATAAATTATGCTACACATGAAAATAAAAATCTACATAATCCTAATTGCTGCCCTTGTGCAAGTGGGGAAATACTTCTTTCATTATCTTTGCTGGAAAGTGTCCCAGAAGCCATTTGACTGACATTTTTTGTATAACATAAATTAAATTCTGTATAGGGGCATTACTGTAAAATAATTAAATGTTCAGGACACAGCCCAATCAAAACTTTGGTTCCTACAAGAAGAGAAAAGAACATGCTTGCTTCCTACTGTGCTGTCAGTGTAGTATGATGCCTAAAAACATATTCTAGTTATGTGGTTGAGTTGATCATGGAGCTGCTTCATAAAAAATAAAATAATGACAGTTTTGATCACTAGATGGCCCAGCCAAACCACAAAATCATTCAGCTCTTTAAAAAGGGCTTCAATGTACATGCTTAACATTAAGAATCAAGCTGAAAGCTACTCAAAAATAGCAGGACTTGAAACATAGATAGGAGAAGCAGGAGACCAGAATAGAACTGCGACAAATAGACAGAACACATAGCCTTTTCAATGAACTATCATTACAGAAAATCTCCTCCAAAAATTAAACAAAATAAAATGAAAGGTAGAAGTAGCAGCAGACTATGCTGACTGCTATGATTTACTGCTGGTTCTCAGAGTTTACAGCATAATGTTAACATTCACTGCCACAGGAGGTGGTGGACGGCTTCAAAAGGGAATTAGATAGACAGCATGGACGGCTTCAAAAGGGAATTAGATAGACATATGGAGCAGAGGTCCATCAGTGGCTATTAGCCACAAGGTATAGATAGGGGCTCTGGGGCAAGTGGTGCTCTGTCTTCTTGGTGCTTGGGGAGGCCAACTGTGGGAGGGCTTCTAATGTCCTGGCCCCACTGGTGGACCTCCTGATGGCATCTGGTATTTTTGGCCACTGTATGACCAGAGTGTTGGACTGGATGGGCCTTTGGCCTGATCCAACATTGGCGTCTCTTATGTTCTTATGTATGTTCTTATCTATCTTCTTTACCAACAAAACTAAAAATGATGAAGTGGAAAGAAATTCTCACATTCAAGAAAGTGTACAATTTAAAGTTTTAACGGAAGGACAACATGATGGGATATATAACGTGTTCCGCAGGGATATGTTGTAGCCAAACATCAAAGCGCCTTAGGGCATCTTAAAAACTAATAAACTGATCGCTGATTAAGCTTTTATGGCAAGATGCATGAACTCGCTGAGACCAAGCATTCTAAAGGGATGAAAAGAATAAAAAACAGGGGAAGAATTATAGGTACTTTAGCTTTGTTTCAGCAAGGGATGACACAAGATTTTTTAGACTGATTTGGAAACTAATATATTTTTTCTTCTTTCTTTTTCAGCTTCCCTTGGTATGGTAGTTAACAGTTTATAACTTTTAGGGATGAGGAGGAAATTAATGAACTAATTAGCATATTGTAATACTGCAATGTCCAATTAATAATTTACAAACTGAGTGCTTCTGTCATTTAATGGTGAAAGATCAGTGATGATTCACAGCCAATTCTCAAAAATAAAATGAAGGTGAAAGCAAAGGGGCAATCATGACTTTCACCTTTCAGAACTAAGTTGCTTGATCTTAAACAGGGCATTATTCAGTACAATCATTCCAAATATCAAGACTTCTTAACTCTAAATAAAACTTGTGCTCTTAAAACAGAAGAACAAACACCTACTTCTAATTCCTTTCAATGAACTCCAAGTAGAAAGTCTGTGTTTACAACAATCTTCCTTGAATTAAGAATTAAAGAGCTAAACATAAATGACATAATCTTACATCTGATGATGCATATGCAAATCCCAATAATTCAAGCAGAATAATAAGTGTATCTAGAAAGATACAGTGTATTCCCATAATTCCTATTTTAATCAAGAAATTATTAGATGTAGTCACCAAACAGCATGTCTACATGGAGCATCATCAAGGGTTGCCAACCTCTAGGTGGGGTCTGGAGATCTCCCAGAATTACAAGTGATCTCCGGACAACAGAGATCAGTTCCCTTGGGGAAAAAATGGCTGCTTTGGAGGATGGGCTCTATGGCATTATACCAGCTGAGATCCTTCCCCTCACCAAACCCACCCTCTCCAAGCTCCACCCCCCAAATATTCAGAATTTCTCACCCCAGAATTGGCTACCCAAATGGAAAGAGTGGTATGTTTGTTAAGAGTTGCCAGATCCTCTAGTTGATCTGGTGGGGGGATTTAGGGGGCATTCCAGGGGTGGACAAGGACATCGTGTGATGTGATGATGTCACCTGGAAGTGACGTCCCTTGCATCAGCAATGCCAGGAGTGACACTCTGGTTTTTGGGTAAAACTCCATGGTAAGTTCACCCTCAAACCATAGAGTTTTGTTGAAAAACCAGAGCATCCCCGTGCAACATCGCCAGCATCACTTCTGGGTGACGTCATTGCGTCGGGGACATTGCACGTCAACATTCCTGTTTAGGGGCGGGGTTTTCCCCACCAGCCAACTGGTCCATGGCAGCAAGAAGCCTCCGAAAGCAGGGGACCCCTGCTCAGAACTGGGAGCTGGCAACATGTGCATTTGCCACACACAAATCCTCAGAGACAGAAATTATCATATTTCTGTACATTACTCCTGGAAGAAGCTAAGTTTAGCAATTAGTATGTACAGATCTATCCTAATCAAATTATTTATTTTTATTTAAATGGATTTTAAACCACCACCCCACATGGGATAGGGCTTAGGGCACTGTACATCAAAAAGTCTTTACATAATTATAATCAGACATTAAAAATCATAAATACAGCGATAAATATCAGTAAGACGGCGATGAAACTGCCAGGGTATGCCACTGCCTCATGGAGGGGGGAGGCAGGAGAAACAGGAGTGCCAGCCAGATGGAAGACTGTTGCTGTCCTCAACCCTAACCCTTACATGCCCTATGGGACTGCATTAAGTCCTGCAGGGCATGGATGTCATTCGGCAGAGAGTTCCACCAGTTTGGGGTCAGGGCTGAGAAAGCCCTGGCCCTGGTTGAGAACAGCTGGATGTCTCTTAGGCCAGGGACCACCAGCAAGTTCTTATTTGACAAGTGTAATGCCCTTCGGGGGGTATACCAGGAGTGGCAATCCTGAAGATATGTGGGTCCCTGACCATTTAGGGTGGGTATCATTCAGCCTGTGGACCACATCTGGCCCGCACAGGGCTCAGAACTGCCCCCCAAGCAACTTCCTTCTCCTGCTTCCTTTTCCAGGGTTGCTCCTGCAGCCGCACCATAGCTTGCTTTTTTCCCAGCTCCCTCAGTGGCTCTTTGCTTCCTGCTTCTAGTTTCCTGCATCTTGCCTGCCTCACTCAGCCCTCCCTCCCTCCCTCCCTCCCTCACACACACAGACATACAGATAGAGAGAGCTTTGTGGCTGCTTCGTGCTGGAGAGATATAAAAACAAGCCTCCCTCCCTTCCCCGCCCCTCACTCACACACCTGCTTCTGCTTCCTTCTCTGGGGCTGCTCTTCCTCTTTTTTGCGGGGAGGGGAGGAAAGAGAAAGAAAAAACAAAATTGGAGTCCCATGGCAGCTTTAAGACCACCAACAACATTTTATTCCAGGTATAAGCTTTTTCTGTGCAAGCACACTTCTTGGATAGGTGGGAGGGAGGGAAGAAGGTTGGATTTTTCTGACAAGCACAATGTACATTGAGGAAATTATTTTGGCTTATTCTTAAAAGTTTTTTTTAATATTGGATTTCTCTGTTCCTATCTGGATTTATTTTCTTTCAAAAAGACCCTGATTAGGAATTAGAACATGTGGATTGGTCTTTATATCTTGGAGAGTGGGAGGGACTTCAGACGTCAAATTATAATAGCATACATTGGCAATGAGACAGGAAAATTAGGTCTCATTTCAGTCCAGGAGGATGCATTGTCTTGAGCTTCATTACCATTTGCAATTCAGCAGTCTCTCTTTCTAACCCCTTTGAAATTCCTTTGTAAGAGCACTGCTGCTCTTAGGTCAGCAACTGAATGTTGTGGTTTCTAATGTCAGACTTATGTCCATTTATTCTTTGCATCCTTCTGGCCTAGAATCCTTCTGGATGGAATTGAGACCTAGGTTTCCTGTCTCATTACCAACACTGGTATCTCCACGCATATCATACCTAATCCAATCAAGCCTGCTATTGTCATTCGCCACCTATTGCCAATCAACATCTGAAATCACCTTTATAAAATGTATATCCCTGGTACCTTGTGTTACATTTTATAGCCGCATGGCCCAGCCCAACAAAGTGACATTTATGTCAGATCCGGCCCTGATAACAAATGAATTCGACACCTCCAGTTTAGGGCCTTAAAGGTTAATATCGTAACTCTGAACCTGTTCCGGTACTCCACCTGAAGCACAACCTTTTGTTTATTCATGTTTTGGATACTGTGTGAAGAGCTGTTTCACTAAAATAGTTCCAAGACCTATTAAACAGCAACTGCCATTTTTCCTTCTACATGTCATTCCATGGTCTCTTACACTTTTCTGAAGACCACAACATCAAAACCAACATTTGCAACTCCTGACTTGCTAATAAACTAATGATTTTTTTCAAATGAAGCCTGAGTAGCATGGAATTTTTTTCAAATGAAGCCTGAGTAGCATGGAATTGACTAACTCTGCATAAATAATGTTCAGGGTGCTTGGCAAGTTTTACATTTCAGGAAAAGACAAGAAAATATTGGCCTTTATGGTGAACAGACGACCATAGCTCTAGCAGGGCAGTCTTCTTCCTCCACCTCTAGTTTGTACTAATCATATAGCCAAAGAAAAGCAGCAAAGCAGTAGGATAACCCTATCCTATCGAAAAGTGTCCATTTCACCTCCCCAAAGGAGGAAATAGTTTAATGTGCCCCTCCATACACAATTCACTCTTAATAGGAGGAATAGCCCCCCCCCCACACCAGTTTTCCTTAGACGCTTTGAAGTTTTACCACCCCGAGGATTCTTAAGCACCAAGAGTCCATTTAGTTATGAGAGCTTATTGCCATTATGATCTTGTTTAATTGTTTTCATGTCCTTTAGTTATCTGTTGTGTGTGCTCCTATCTTACAGTATAGATTTTCAAACAGTGCAAGAGAGTCACATGTTGCATCCGCTTCCACGCTCTTAGATGTTCCTTCTGATGCTCCCTAGAGGCCTTTGGTAGAGGAAGGAGCTGAAGAAGCCTACCCTCTACAGTGTCTTATGCAGTGGTACCTGCGTTATTCTTCCATGCACTACTGTCAATTATTCAGATCTTGCTAGAAATAATGGTTACAGTTTCAGAGGGTAGCCCTGTTGGCCTACAGTACACCTAGATTTCAGTTCAGTAGCTCCTTAGAGACCAAGATTTTTGGGGTATGTGCTTTCAAGAGCCAAATCTCCCCTTGTCAGATATCTGATGAAGGCAGCTTGATCCCTGAAAACTCATACCCTGAAAATCTTGTTGGTCTCTAAGGTGCTACTGGGCTCAATTCTAAGAGATCCACACAAGGATCACTCCTGATTTTTACCATCACTTAAACAAAATGCTAATACTATCTTGAGAAACAGAGCAATTAAATATACTTATTCCAAAATAATCAAATTCTTTGATTATTTTAAAATACTTCTGGATCACTTCTCCCCAAAGCGGTGGGGAGGCAGTTTAAAATATGCACGTACAAATCAATAAACCCCAAATACATTATAGCTGCACAATAGACAGCTTATAAAATAACATGCCCTTCATACACAGATATCCAAAGGCTCTTCTAAAGAAAACTTCCTTACAAACTTGATGGCAAACTGGCAAGGAGAGAACAATTTTTGCTTCTATGTCGCCTATCCCAGAACAGAGGAATCACTAATAAAGCCCCAGAATAGGCCACTACTAACTATCTCCTTGTGGGAGAAGAATAATCTGTAAAGAAGAATAATCTGTATAACACATTAATACCTACATCCCTATATATTTAAAACAGGTGTCAAAAATTTGGGAGGAAGAAGCATATTACTGCTTATTTACCGTTGTTAAAATAAAGGGGAGAGAGGGGAGTAGGAGAACACAACACATTTAAAAAAACACCTCTAACTTCAGACATGTGGCCAGAATTATAGAATATTCATGGTATAAGCATCTGGTATAAGACAAATATTTGTATTATATCAGTTTGCAGACCCTCCCTCTCTTTGAAATCAATAGTGTTCTATTCCAAACAACACAACCAGGCCAAACAGCTGTGGAAACATAGTACAACATCACAGGCATGATGCTTATCACCTAACGTTTACCTAACAGAAAGTGAAGTAGAATCAACAGCGTATTTCCTTTGCAAACTGTATCAGCCCTAGGAGTAGGAGCCAGAAGAATTTCTAGCTGCAGAGTAAATTTCACCACGCATCTCAACTCCGGTAAATAACAAGCTGTGACTTACCTGTCAAAAGCAGCCTGTACTGAGGGATCCTCTGAACTGGTTTGAGCAAATAGTGTTTGAGTGCCAAGCTAGCACAGCGAGGGCTCGTCTAAAATACAAAAATAGCCTAATGTTCTTAAAAGGAAAGCCAACATTCTTTTGAACAGGCCTAAGCACAATGACATGTTAAACCATTCAGTCTTGCTACTATGCACTGGAGAGGTAAACATTATACAACCACCAGGAAACCGCAGGCTGGCTCCAATTTAGTAGCCTTCCTTAACTCAGGGAGCAAGCCTAAGCAGGTTTATTCAGATGTAAATGTCATGCTATTTAATAGGGTTTAGTCCCAGGAAAGTGTCCATGGGATTGCAGCCACACTTCACTGAAATTTACATAGCAAGTTAGCATGCTGTACTATGTACAGTTTTGGTCACCACACCTCAAAAAGGATATCATAGCATTGGAAAAAGTGCAGAAAAGGGCAACTAGGATGATAAAAGGGTTGGAACACTTTCCCTATGAAGAAAGGTTAAAACGCTTGGGGCTCTTTAGCTTGGAGAAACGACGGCTGAAGGGTGACATGATCGAGGTTTATAAGATTATGCATGGGATAGAGCAGGTAGAGAAAGAAGTACTTTTCTCCCTTTCTCACAATACAAGAACTCGTGGGTACTCCATGAAATTGCTGAGCAGTCGGGTTAGAACGGATAAAAGGAAGTACTTCTTCACCCAAAGAGTGATTAACACATGGAATTCACTGCCACAGGAGGAGGTGGCAGCGGCTACAAGCATGGACAGCTTCAAGAGGGAATTGGATAAGCATATGGAGCATAAATCCATCAGTGACTATAGATAGGAAGTATAGATAGGTATAGATAGGAACTCTCTAGGCTGGGTACAGATAGGAACTCTCAGGTATAGATAGGAACTCTCAGGCTGGGGAAAGTGATGCACTGTATTCTTGGTGCTTGGGGGGGGGCAACAGTGGGAGGGCTTCTAGTGTCCTGGCCCCACTGATGGACCTCCTGATGGCACCTGGTATTTTTGGTCACTTTGTGACAGAGTGTTGGACTGGATGGGCCATTGGCCTGATCCAACATTGGCTTCTCTTATGTTCTTATGCTGGGCCATTAGCAACTTCACTGTTCTGGTCACTCCCACCCACCCGTACCACTTCGTACCACAGAAGTATGATTGCTTATCATTCTGGGCCACATGCTAGGCAGCTGCAAAGCATTGCAAAACATGACAATTTTCTGCCTAATAAATCCAAGGTGCCATGCCTCCAAGTCCATTTACAGTCATAAACTAGGCAAGTCCCAATAAGAGGCACAATGCCTTGGATTTGCATTCTGGCAGAAGATTTAATCCCAGAAGACTTGATAATGAGGAAAAATGATCTCTCCAGTTTACTTTTATTTTCTTCACTTTTGTTGCACATTATTACTGTGGGTTTATACCTTTGTTTCAGAGGAGCACCTAAGACAATGAACAGGGTTGGTCACCTTCCAACCATACAGTCATAAATGATAAACTTGGTCATGTTGCACTCAATGCATATACAGATATGCAGTTGTCACCCAGCAGTACCTGATGTAATCCTGCTTGCTAGATCTAGGGACAAGCCTGCTAAAACTGCTATGAAAAATAATGATTTTTAGTCCCAATAATAGCTTTCTACATCAGTTTCATTAGAATGCATGGGAACAGAAACTGCTCACTAGTGCCTTAATAGTTTTGATTCTGAGTTAAACTATTGTTTTAAACAGATCTTGCATCAGTTTTCAAAAATGTTAAGAAAGCCGCAAGGGTCATATTGGAGATTTTCACATTAGGTTTTAAAAAAAAATCTGATTTGGTATCTGCCTCCATCCTGGAAGCTTAAATGAGATTACCAAATGTGAATAAACACTAAACTTATGTATTTCTATTTTGATTTCTTATTTTCTATTTGTTAAAGCTTGGCAGTTTCTGCAGATGATAAACTCATTCACCAAAATACATGATAAAATCTTTTTAGCACACACACAGGCTTGAACTTTTTAGTAAACCTCCACTGAGGGACAGGATTTCCATAAGCAGAATGGTTCTTCCTCACCTCAAAATGTTGCTCCTGGGGGACGTGTGGGGAAGGGGGAGATGCGCCTGTGTGTGGGGGAGGGGGAAATCAGCAAAATGTTCCACTCACAGGTTCCAAGAAAAGTTCACTCTTATATTGGTCCTTTGAAAAATAAATAATTCATAGTGCTTTGCTTTAGCTCAAGTTTTGGTTTTAGTTTCCTCCTTTTCACCACTGTATTTCTCTAGTAGGTAAACTCATACTTGTAAGCCACAAGGAGTAGCAGGAAAAATAAAAATAAATATAAGATTTTGTTTTTGGACTTTGGCATGTTCACAAAATATAAGCTATACATGCAAAGTATCAGATGTGAAGTACACACTTTTTTTTTGCTACTTGTCCCTTTAAAACTAATATGACCTTCTACCCAGGATGGATGAGACCCCATTTGCTTACATTTTGTAACAAGTGAAAAATATGCAACCACATACAATAGGCAAATATTGTACTCTGATACTGTACCCATGTACAAATCATTGCATAAACCAATCCTTAAAAAGAGCTAACTTTGTAAAGCAAGACGACAAAAAAAATATTACCTCAAAATCTCGAACGACAGCAGCAAAACTGGGGTTCTTCTTGCATTGTTCATCTAGGAGGGCTACATTCTTATCAAACTCTTTAATGTAAGTTGAATACATCTTTAAGTAAGGTCCTTTTTTTACAAAAATATCCGCAATTCTCTGATGGTCAGCCCTAGAATTTCATACAGTGAATAATTAAAACTTGCACCTGCAGAGTGCAGCAGGGGTGAGTAAACATATTCTCTTCCACTTCTCTCTCCTACTAGCAAGCCTCCTGCCTAGGGATGCCAGCCTCCAGGTAGGACCTGGAGATCCTCCAGAATTACAGTTCCTCTCCAGACTACAGAGATCAGTTCCCCTCGAGAAAATGGCTGCTTTGGAGGGTGGACTGTATGGCATTGTACCTCACTGAGGTCCCTGTTCTCCCCCAGGCTCCATCCCCAAATCTCCAGGAGTTTCCCAATCTGGATCTGGCTACCCTCCTGCCCCACAAAGGGGAGGTTCATTTCACAGGTCCTTGGCTGGAAAAACAGGCATCCTCCAAATTCCCAACTCCAGTCCCTGGATAGGACTGCCTTTGGAGCCAAAGGATAGGGGATTCCCTTCAGCCCAGAACCCATCCAAAAGCCTTTTGCCTGGCTGAAGAGAAGTAAGCAGCAGCATATTTATGCCTCTTCACCAAACATCTGAAGTCTTCTGTCTCTGTGTGCAGATCTGCTAATCTCTATATTTGATAGCAGTAACTGTCACTCCACAGCAGCATTTAGGGTTTGGGGGGAGACCTTTTTTTTTTAATCCCATGATTTCTGGGCAAATGTGATGGATCCCTACCCTTTAGTGAAGCTTCTCTTCTGTGCTCCCTTCCTGCCCTCAGTGTCTATACACTTCACTGGATGGGAGTCTATGAACAGATGATACCCTGATCACTGTAAATCATCTGGTATGTTTATGGAGTAAAATTACTTTTAGCTATTAATTCCCAAGGAAAGTAGAATTATTGTTATTTAATATGTTCTAAAGTTAATTGCTCAACAGTTATTCTGTTTGCTGAGATGATAGAAGGGTCCATTTGTACTTCACAAAACTTGTAATGCTTGGTTTCACCGGAGTGAGAACCTGGCAGAATCTTCCTTCAACCTTCCTATCCCTGCTTGGCTAGACAGCCAAAAAAAAAAAAAACCCTACCCAGGGAGGGAAGGTTCCTGTTGGGCTGCTGCCCTGGAGGGCAACTTTAACTTAGTCAGGGTCAAGTAATCAAGTGGTCAGGACCAAGCAGAGCTGAGAAAGCCCCCATGCTATTGCTAAGTCCTAAGGGGATGCTCAGCTCAAATACGACCAGTGGCAACAACAACAACAGACACAGGCTCCTCCTGGGGTATTTGTGGTCCATTTTAACATCCCAATCCACCCCTGGCCAACAGATAAGAGCATTCAGACTCATCCAACTATGAATGAAACAGCCCTAAAGTATGGGGGAGGCAGGGAAGGGACTTGGCCTCTCTGAACCCTGTTATTTGCTCAAGTTTGTTCAACAGCCAATCTCATTGTAGACTACTAGTGCAAATCCATATGCACTTGCATATACACACATCTCTGATTAAAAATTCTGATTGTGTAATATGGTCATTTGTAATCCACCAGATGCTTGTATTTAGAAGTGACTTTGCAGCAAAAAAGAGCATATATTAGTAGAACACTCATTACTATTAAGACTGACATCCCACTTTTACAAAGTAAATGAACATGAACAAATGTACCAGTGAGCCAGCCGTTCTTCTAGTTCTCTCAAGAGGTCCCGATTAAGCTCATACAGCTGAGGTAGGTAGTACAGGATCTGATTCAGGATCCTGTCTTCAATTACTGGCTTTCCAAGTTGCCTGGAAGCTTGTGCCACTGAATCCCGGAAATCCTGTGACAATACAAAAGGGAAACAAAAAAGCCATCTGAAAAATGGCCTCCAAGAAACAATGCAGAGTATACTACTTCCCTGATACACATGCCATAAACCCACATGGCCAGTTTCCACAGGACTGGATGCATAGTCTAAAATTAAGCAGATGCCTGAGCTTTGGAAAAGGGAAGTTCACAGAAGAATGGTTTCACACTTATTTACTACAAGAGGGGGACCCGCGATACTCGCGGGGGGGGGGAGAAGAGCTCCGTCTCCTCCATCCCCCCCATCTCCCCGCGGCGGCGGCGAGGCCGGTCCCCCCCCCCGCCTGCCGGCTCCGGGGAGGAGGAGGAGGCGGCGGAGGCGAGGCCCGGCTTCCCCCCTCCCTTCCTCCCTCCCTGCCCGCCCGCCCGGCCTCCCCGGCTTCCCCGCGAATTTTTTTTAAACTTTTTGTATTTTTGTGCACACGTGGGGACTGGCACACGTGCGCACAA